CCCAGCCGCTGGCAACCTCTGTGGCTGGAGCTCTCTGGCCCAGCAACATCTGTGGTCCTACCAGACCATGGATATTGCTGGAGCAGAGAGTCTCAGACCACAAATCAGCAGTAGAAGACAGTTGCAAGTTTCCTGCAAAATGTTTTAGGAGGAGAAAAAGTGGTATTTTATTTTATTTTATTTTATTTTATTTTATTTTATTTAGCCGCTGGCAACCTCTGTGGCTGGAGCTCTCTGGCCCAGCAACATCTGTGGTCCTACCAGACCATGGATATTGCTGGAGCAGAGAGTCTCAGACCACAAATCAGCAGTAGAAGACAGTTGCAAGTTTCCTGCAAAATGTTTTAGGAGGAGAAAAAGTGGTATTTTATTTTATTTTATTTTATTTTATTTTATTTTATTTGTTTGCTGTTTGTTTAGTAGAACTGCTCTTTTGTGAAAAACAGCTCATATTTGGCTTTCATCCCATTTATTTTCCACTGGAAAAGGGAGAGGCACAGAAACCCCCCAAATATCTATTTGCATTGAAATGACCATAAAACCATCTACTGCTGAAAAGATGTTTCAACCAAACTATTTCGACACAGTCTCTATGTCCCTTGTGGGCCACTCTCTTTTGTTCTAGAGCCCTCTACAAGCAGGTCTGGTCTGGAGTGTTTCATCCACTTGCCTGGCGTGGCGAGGAGTCCCGTGGCACTTTATAGACTAACTGAAGTGTTGGAGCATAAGCTTCCGTGGGCAAACACTTAACCTGGCTTTTAATTATGATTAATTTCAAGTGTTTCCTTTTGTAAATCTGAGGCTTCGTAATTGACCTGTGTTGTTCCCATTTCTCCCTGGGGTGCCGCGCTGCCCAGCTCCGCTAGGTGGTTTTACACCTGCAAACCTCACCGGAAGGTTGCTGAAATGCCCTTGGGCTCATGGTGACTAACGCAAAGAAGTGATGGATTTTTCAAGTGTTTAAATGTGTCCCAGAACGCATTATATCTGGGGGGAGGGGGGATCTCCTAAGCTGGCTTTAGGTCTGTGCCATTGCTGAGGGCCCCATACAACGCACAAGCCCCTGTGAGTCCGGCAATAAATTCTGCACCTCCGAATTTGTCTGTCTACTGGTCCAGGTGTCTTGATTCTTGCTGTAAGTTCTCCTGGCTCTACCCGGTGGGTGCTGCTCTGCTAGGCCTGCCTCAGTGCTCCAGACTCTCCTTTCTTGCTTTATCAATTGCACCGCTGTGCCCGGCGCTTTGCAGAAAGGCGAAAGAGCCGGTACCTTGCCAGAGGAGCTGCAATAGATGTAACAGGGGTGATGTGAGGAGAGGTGGCTCTTGGCCAAGTGGGAAGGAGGGAGACAAAGCAAAGCTACCAGTCCGGTGCCCAGCATGGATTGTGTTTGCACCTTTCTTTTCCATGCAAAATTTCCATGTGGCGGGACCGGAGAGGAGAGGAAAGCTGAGTGCTGTTCAGGACAGGGCAGGGCTTTCCAGGAGCAGAGTGGGAGTTAAAGGAGAGAGTGTATCTAACCACCACCAGGCAGATTTGAACCTGGGATCTCTGAAGCTTAGTATAGGAGCTGCTACAGCTTGAGCCAGGGCCGGATTAAGGGTGGGGGCTAGCTGGGCAGCTGCCTGGGGCACCAGTCTATGGGGGTGCCGGATGGCAGCTGTAAGGTGCACAGCGCGCCGGGGGGCGGGGCCGCGCATGTGTCACGTGCCCACTACTCAGGGCACAGGAATAGCTCAAGCCGGCCCTGGCTTGAGCTACAAAGCCAGCTGGCTCTCAGCCTATGCTGTAGAGGTTCTCTTGTCCTTAGCTGTTGCTGTGGTCTAAGTGCCACTGCATGGGACAGTGACCCACACTAGGTGTGTGGGTTACACATGCACAGGGGCAGATGACTCCCCAGGGGCCGTGCCGAGGAAGAGGAGCACAGCTAAGTCCTGACTGCTCTTGTGTTGGTGCGTAGCCAACGCTGCCGTTGCAGAGACAGGCGTGGGATGGACGTGCGCACGTGGCAGGGTTCTATCAGCTGGAACGCAGCTGAGCTACCCTGTGCGGAGGAGCGAGAGAGTTTTGCCGGCTGGAAGGAGGCCTGCTAATGCTTGGGACCAAGTTCTTGTCTCTGGGGCAGTGCCCGGGGAAAGTCTGCCGCCTGGCGGGGAGTTGGACCATTGATGTCTCCAGCAGAGGAGTCTGTCCCGTTCAACCGTGCTGGCTCTTGGGGCCCAATTAAACCCGTAGAACTAGCCTAGCGAGAGCAGAGGGACAGGGTTAAAGTGCTGCAGGTCCCAACCATAGCACCGTGGAGGAAAGCAGAGATGCTCGTTGGTGAACACCGCCGGCAGGAGAGCTGATTGGTTGGTGCTTGGTAGGACTGCATTTGGACTTGGCTCTGTGCTGCATCCGAAGGCAAGGCTGGGCCCCGCAGGGGAGGGAGGAGATGCTGCTGTGTGTGAGTGGGGGAGGGCCCTGGAGAGTGAGTTGCAAATGAAGTCCAGGGCTCTGCGTGCACTTGGAGCTAGGGTGGGATTTTCAGCTCCCGTGGACCCACCCGGCTGGCGCTAGTGCGCTGCAGATGGCATTGCAGCAGGCAGTGGTGAGCGGCCGTATAGATGAGCTGCCCTGAGTGCGTAGCCATGGGGGTTTGGCCGGTGCACACTTGGCATGGCTAGCCCATGCTGCTGCTCACCGCTGCCTGTGCCACGGCAGCTACACTACTCTTTGTAGCTGATGAGTGACACCCCAGCTGGGAATCACACCCCAGTGCTGAGGATAGACCGTCCCATAGGAGCGAGGCCCAGAGAGGTGGAGGGACGTTGCAGTCAGAGAGGGGAGCCACCCAAAAAGAACTAGATACATTCCTGGGGGTCAGGTCCATCAGTGGCTATTAGCCAGGATGTGCAGGGATGGGGACCCTGGCCTCTGTTTGCCCGAGGCTGGAAATGGGCGAGAGGAGAGGAATCGCTTGATGATTCCCTGTTCCGTTCATTCCCACTGGGGCCCCTGGCATCGGGAACAAGCTGGGCAGAGGGCTACGGGCTTCCCGGGGCCAGCAGTGAATGAGAAATGAATCTGCGTCTCATTTGTACGTGATGCCGAAGTCTGGGTGGTGGGTCGGTGCCCTGGCAGGGGAAGCACCGCAGAGCACTGATGTTAAGTAGGAGTCAGGGTGGCTTTCCCATGGCATTAAGGTGGCTACCTAGCTTGTGAAAGAGACGCTTAGAGCAACTGTTTAGGGCAAGAATTCAGATGTAACAAGGTTCTTAGTATGTTAGCTTTAGCTGGCGTTCTTTTGTTTGTTTGAACTTAGTAACTTATTTTGAGCTGACTCTTCACTTGCAAGCACTTAAATTCTACTTTTTATACTTATAATAATCAAAAGTGTTGTATTAAGTCCAGTGTAAATAATCGTTACTGGGGAAGAGGGGGGGAAGGAGACTAACCACTGTGCATCTCTCTCTTTCATTGTTAAAGGGGGCACATTTAGGAGCTTTCTCTGCGTAAAACTTTTACACCGAGTAAGGCGGATTTATTTGGGGTTTTGGTCCCTCTTTGGGGTCTGTGTTCCAGGATGCTGAGCCCTTATGGGGGAGCCTTCCTAGAGCTGAGCCGGTTTAGTGTCTGTGTGGCTCTGCAGGGGGGCGGTAACCCCAACTCTGGGCCTTGCCTGGGTGAGCCCAGAGTTTCTGGCCCAGCAGGACAGGATGGTGGGGAGCCCCAGACGGCTGGAAGACGAGCATCATTGGCTTGATCAGCATAGCAGGGGACAATCCCAAGGGTACTTCTGTGATCTAACCCATCACTGGGGGTGTTCGTTTGCTGCTGTTGTTACTCAAATTTAGCACTAGCTCTTTAACGAAAAAGGCATAGAATCCTAGGGTTGGAAGAGCCCTCAAGGTCATCGAGTCCAGCCCCCTGCCCAAAGAAGGACCAACCCCAATTAAATCATCTCAGACAGAGCTTTGTCAGGCTGGGACTTAAAAACCTCCAGGGATGAAGATTCCACCCTGTCCGTAGGGAACCCAGCCCAGTGCTTCCCCACCCTCCTAGGGAAATAGTTTTTCCTAATATCCACCCTAGACCTCCCCCACTGCAACTTGAGACCATTGCTCCTTGTTCTGCCATCTGTCACCACTGAGAACAGCCTCTCTCCATCCTCTTTGGAACCCCCCTTCAGGGAACTGAAGGCTGCTCTCAAATCCCCCCTCACTCTTCTGTAGGTTAAATATTCTGTAGTCTAAGATTTACCCTGAATTCTGATAGAAATACATTGTGTCAGAGGGCAGTATGATTCCATGGGGGGAGCAAAGGCAGAAGCAGAACTCTGGTTTTCACCCAGGAGTTCTCCGTCATTCCATGACATGGACAGTTACAAATGTCAGGTCACTGTGGAAGATGAAGGATTATAGCCCACAATGACACTGAATATGATTTACTGAGAAGAGCATGAGGTCTCTTCTTTAAGAGATTCCCCTGGATCAATTTTCATCTTCTGCTCTGAACTGCTATAGCCCTCATGGCTATTATTCTTACTGCTGTGAATGTGCTTTGTCTTGCTCTGAATGGTATCAATTTAAGAGGAATTTGGTGTGTAAAGGCGAGAGAAATAGATACTGTGAAATTGTAGCTGATGCCATGGTGACTGTTGTACTCAGTAACAACTCCCAAATCCTCACCTCTTTTTGTCCATCATATATCAGGCTTCTTCTCTATTTGTCCATACTGTTTCCTGCCTGAGATGGCATTGATTTTGTGAATTTATGGTGGTTATTCATTCATGTGAGCTAGGAGAATGAAATCAAATAAGTTCACTGCCAGTCAAAATGTATAGAAAGAGCGCATGCCAGACGTGAACCCAGCAAAATTTACAATACAGGCAGTCCCCAGGTTACGTACAAGATAGGGACTGTAGGTTTGTTCTTAAGTTGAATTTGTATGTAAGTCAGAACTGGTACATATTGTAGGGGAAACTCTAGCCAAACATTTCTCCAGAGCTCAGTTTTATTCTCCCACACCTCACTTCCCTCAGTCCTTTATTCTCAAGCTGAGGTGTCTGCTGAGAAAAGCCGCTCCGCGTCTCCCTGGTCTGCTGGGGGGAAGCAGCTAGGGCGGGGTTGCCTCACCCCGTTTGTAAATAGGGATCCGATGTAAGTCAGATCCATGTAACCCGGGGACTGCCTGTACATGCCCATGTCCAAGATGATGGAAGAAGGATTTTTTTCTCTTCAAAAATGCCAGTTCATTTATGAGGCAGGGGTACAGATTAATTTTAAAACTAAGCAGTGGGTGTGCTAACAATAAAGAATCCGTGTTCTGATTTGCTTACGGTCTAAGTAGACTAGACAGATAGAGGGCAGAAGAAAGGATTATAATCTGAAATGATGCTCAGAGAATAAGTGATTTGCCCAAGGTCGCATAAGAGGGCAGTGTCAGAATCAGAATATAAACCCAGCCTCCTGAGACATAGTCCAGTGCCTTAACCACAAAATCAACTATCTTCCCCAACTTTGGCCGAGTGGTTTGCTTTGCCCTGGTTGAGAGCGAGGCCTGTGCCTCCGTTTATCTCCCCTGTGTGAATGCGGAGAGATTGTAGGGAGATGTTAAGGCCTTGAAGGGGCTATCCTCTCACTCCTAGCGGGCATGGATACAGAGGTGAGAAATGAGGAAGTCTGGCGATGCCATCTGAGAGAAGGGGGAGGGATGCCTGAGAACAGTGATCATTGGGAGGGGGCAATGACAAAGATGGGGTGGAATAAAAAGCAGGCAGAGGAGACAGAAGAGGAGCAGATGTTGAAGAGAATTTAGAGCTGGAATACGATTCTAACTAGCCGAACTGGCGGATATCTTTTAGCAAGGGATTAGGTGAGAGCAGATCTGAGGAGGGCCCTGAAGGTTAAGAACAAGGAAAACCAGAGAAGGGACTCAAGGAAGACACTGGTACAATTGGAGCCACACGCAAAAGCTTTGATAATCTTAAGCAGTAGGGGGTTGCCTGTGAACAACCTTTGGAGCTGCAGGGGGTCTGGTCTCATATGAGGGAAGAGAGGCAGGGAGCAGCCTGAGAGGGGCTGATTCCCAGCCAGCCACTCCAAGGCTATATCTACCCTGGCG